CGATAGTACCTAAAACAATAAGCTTTAAAACGATACTAAAAAGTGTGACCCTGGTGCTTGATTAGTCGTAAATAAATTAGATTAAGGGGCACAACTAGTGTGAAGTTTTAAAAAAATCAAAAAAAAATTTTTTTCATATTTTGGTAGATTACACCTTTAAAAATAACATATTAAAATTTAAAATCGATATCTCAAATAGTTTTTGAGTTATAGCATTTCAAAGAGCAGCCGCTCTTATAACAGTGCAAACGATCATTTTATCTTTAAACGCGTTTTTCTTGAAACAGCATTTTCCAAATTTGCTGCAGTGATAACTCAAAAACTTGTGATCCGATCACTACCAAATTTTTTTTACATGTTCTTTATATAGTTCTACGTACCATGAACTATCGGTTTTTTGATCCGATCAAAAATCGAATTTTGGCAGGCCAAAAACGACCAAAATTTTGGTTAAAATTCGATTTTTTTTTTTAAACGCTGCCATTTTGTCATTTTTTGATATTTTTTTTATCGTAGTTCATGGTATGGAAAATATTATATAGTTTCACGAGAATTTTTCATTTTTTGATTTCGTCCACGGAGAGGGCCGGAATCACTGCAGCAGTTGAGGCACTTTTTTTTTAGCGCCGTTGGAGATCGACTATAACTTAAAAAATATGTAACTTTTTTCTTTAAAAATTTCACCATACATTCTTAAAACATGTATAAATATATTCTGAAAATTTGAAAAGAATTGATCAAGTAGTCTTTTTTATAAAAATTCCCTCCAAACCCTCCCTACATCCGCGAAATGTTCCTTGGTGGAGCAAATCTCTGCAAGATCTAAGGCAAGCAAAACAATCTCTTTGGCACGCCTACAAACAAACTCAGAGCACCGCTGCCCAAATTTCTTACAGGAAAGCTAATGCTCTTTTCAAATACAGTTCCAAAAAAGCAAAACGGGAATCCTTTGAAAGATTTACCTCCAATATATCCCCTCTATCATCTACTAAGAAAACATGGTCTGACCTAAATCGCTTAACCCTTTGAGGGGCAGTGGGAAGTATACTTCCCACCTGTTTCTTTGCCGTTTTTAATTAATCTCTTTCGCACTGCACTCGTTTTAGTAAAAATATATTATCATTTAGACTCTCAAATACTTATAAAAAGTTATGAAAAAAAAAATTTCGTGAAATTGTTATTAATTAATTAGTTATAAAAATTCAAACTTGAAAAAACTGTCGTGTTTTTGAATAAATTCAGCTGTGTGCAAACTACAGGTCCAAAAATTATGAACATTTTTTTCTGACGAGCATATACATTGAACAAAAACATATGTTTTTTTCAGAATTTTCGGCAGGCTAGTTTTCATGAAAAAATTTTTTGAATAAGTTGAAAATAGTGTTATTTGACGAATCTTTCCGTTTGATTTCATTATTTGTTACGCGGCGAAATTCGGATATCAATGGTTGTACATAGGTTTTCGGGGTTGCTGATAACGATTTTGATATCAGTAGATTAATATCCAAAATTTCACAATTCCGATATCAGAATCGTAATCAGCGACCCCGAAAACCTATATACAACCATTAATACTGAAATTTCGCCAAAGAGAAAAATGTGCCCCTCAAAGGGTTAATAGGTAGTTTCCCAAATAACCTCAGGACAATTAAGGCAGTGGTCTGCTTTAGCAGCCGAAAAAAGAGCGTTTTTTCAACCATTTTTTTGAAAGGGAAGAAAATGATTGCGGTAAACGAAATTTTGAGATGGTATAATATTATATTTAAACTTTAAAAAACAATTTTTATTATTGCAAATAATTGAAATTAGCGGAAGTTGTAACGATTTTTCTGGGGCGCCTGGAGTGTGCACTTGTTAATCGGTGCCGGTGATGGAGTTTGTGTGATGCATCTGAAACAGTGGAACCAAATTTTTTTTACTTTTTATAAGTTCCTTTTCTATGTAAACTAAATAAATTCCGAAGAAATGACGAAATTCCAAATTTTTTCTAAGTTTGAAAAAAAAATTCACTTTTTTGGAAAAAAAAGGTTAACTTTAAGTTGCAAAACAAGTAATTTAAATAGTACCTTTATCCATTTTTTTTAGTTCAAATAGAGGATAATTCAATACTGAAGCTAGATCACTTTGGTTTTTTTTGATCGGACATATATTTTTTTTACTATGGCCGGCACCGTTTTCTAAAACTTGTGAAAATAAAAACTCGACAAAACGGGCTGTAAAGTCTGCCCGAGCATACGAACCTGCTCGACGCTCGGCCACTAAAACTAATCTAGCTTCGAAAATATGTCGAATTTGGCGGAAAAAATTAAAGAAAAGGAGCCGGCACTAGCTAATCGCAGCTAATAGCTAATCGTCTTTCACCATGACAACGCTAGTCTCCACACATCTTTGGTCACTCGGCAAAAATTAAAGGGAGCTGAATTGGGAAGTGCTACCACATCCACCTTATGTTCTCCAGAATGGCATTCCACAAGGATCGCCCCTCTCTGTGGTATTGTTCATGATTGCCTTCCAGTCCTTAAATAACATAATATTAAGACATAAGCAAATTAAACTGTCAATTTATGCAGACGATGCCACAATTTTTAGCAAATGTAAAAATACTTATACACTAAATAATAAATTTATAGAAGTGCTTAATGAAATCCAAATCTGGGGTAACACCTCCGGTGCGACCCTTGCTGTAAATAAATGTAAGGTAAATAAGGTAAGGTTTTAAAAAATTTTTTTTTACATTTTTTTTTTTATTTTTTTCTGAATGATTAATATGTCGAATTAAAGTCAAACTAACGGAGTTACAGCGTTTTAAACAACCGTATTTGGACGTATTTTCACGTATAAAAATACTTTGAATCGATTTTGCCGAAGACGTTATTTTGAAAGTCGGTGAACATCAGAACTCAAAATCGAATGAACCGATCCTTTTCAAATTTTTAACACAAATTCTCAACATAAATACGCAGGTAATTAGGAAGAGTTTTTTTAATTTTTAATTTTTTTCTATTTTTAAAAAATAAATTAACAGGTATTTTTAAACCTAAAATCACACTTTTCACTTTCAAGTGCTCCCAAAAATAGACAAAAAATAAATTTTAAAAAAACTCTTCCTGATTACCTCGGGAAATTCATTATCTTTACAACGCATATCACGTTTTTTTTTTAAGATGATCCGTTAACGCCCTATGATGTTCACCGCAAAACAACTTTTTCTTTAGGCGCTTCGGAAGATTAACCGCCACAGGCGTATTTCTTTATATTTTTTAATAATTTTTATACCCTTGCAGAGCAAAAGGGTATTATAATTTCAGTCAGAAGTTTGCAACGCAGTGAAGGAGACACCTCAGACCCCATAAAGTATATATATTCTTGATCAGCATCACCAACTGAATCCAAATCCGTCTGTACGTCTGTCCGTCTGTCCGTCTGTCTGTCTGTCCGTCTGTCCTCCTGTCGGTTTCTATGTAAACTAGTCTCTCAGTTTTAAAGCTATCTGGCTGAAACTTTCCCAAAAGTTGTCTAGTTGTTGCACGCAGTATATAGGTCGGAACGAGCCGGATCGGCCGACTATATCGGATAGCTACCATACGAGAGAATGAAATTAAAAATTCTTACTCCGTTGTTTTTGATCAGATCGACTTGATTCCTTCCAAATGGCGTTTTCTAACCACTATTGAATTTCGGATTAAATTTTATCAAAATCGGATAACTCTATCATATAGCTGCCATAGGAGAGATCAGAAAATATATATATAAATAATGGAAAAAAATTATAACGTCGTTGTTTTTAATCCCGCGAGCATGATTTTTGGAACATCAGGCTTTTCTAATACTCTTAAATCGAGAAAAAAATTTCATAAAAATCGGAGTAATATATCATATAGCTGCCATAGGAAAGATCGAAAAATCTATATAGAAATAACGGAAATAAAATTATTACCTCCATGTTTTTCATCAGACAATCATGATTTTTGGAATATAGAGTTTTCTTATGAGTCTTGAGCTACAAATTAAATTTTATCAAAATCGGACGACTATATCATATAGCTGTCATATGAACAATATGGAAAATTAATAGAAAAATCGTCATAGATTAGATGCTGTTTAGCCTTTTTGTATTTTGTTAGACATATTTTATGTCTGCAAGGGTATATAAGCTTCGGCCTGCCGAAGCTAGCTTCCTTTCTTGTTTTTTCTAATACTCTTCAAAAGTTGAACAATTAAATGTGATTAAGCTCAAAAAAATAAACTTACTCATTTCGCAGCAAAAAAAAAATCAAACATGGCCCTTTTTTGGCCTTTAAAACCTTAGTTAGTATATTGTAAATGCGTTTTATGTATAATAGCTAATAAATAATAATAATAAAGATCGAAAAATCTATATAGAAATAACGGAAATAAAATTATTACCTCGTTGTTTTTCATCAGACAATCATGATTTTTTGAGTATAGAGTTTTCTAATGAGTCTTGAGTTACAAATAAAATTTCATCAAAATCGGACGACTGTATCATATAGCTGTCATATGAACAATATGGAAAAAATCATCATAGATTTGATGCTGTTTAGCCTTTTTGTATTTTGTTAGACATATTTAATGACTGCAAGGGTATATAAGCTTCGGCTTGCCGAAGCTAGCTTCCTATCTTGTTTTTAATAAATCTGTAAAGTTGTAAAAAAAAAAAACGCAGTTTCAAATGCATAGACCTGGTATTACATAAATTAAATTGCAAGCATTTCAAATCGTAAATAGTTTTAAGAGGTAAAGTCTGTCATCTAGGATCGGCTGAAGTTTTATTTAAAATAACACAGTTCCTCAAAAATATACCCCATCTCAGTTGCAAAATCTTTGTTTACACTGTCTTAATTTATTTAAGGTTAAATTAATGCCAAACAACAATGGACAAGCTACATGATATCGCCGATTTATTGGTGAAATTTTTAAAGTTAAGTCGATATCATCTCGCATAAAAATAATAAAGGAACTGACATGTTATATATTACCTTTTGCTCCGTGAACGACATTGAAATTAAATATATCATTTCTAGGACTAGTCGGTTCATGTTCCGGGTGGGATTTGTTTTCTGTTGAATTTGAATGACATTTAAAAGGTATAATTTCTTTTGATACTGTGTCGTCGTTTTTCAACGTATTTATAAGTTGCGCACGTCCTCGACCAACCGATATGTTTATACTTTGAAGGGTGCTTAGGAGATTAGATTCATTATTCTTTTTTAATTGAAGAGATTCCCCACTTGTATTTGAGTGGTTCACATCCAAACCGCTGTCGATTGCGCGATCATCACTCGAAGATGATATATCCGAAGCAAGAATCTTACATTTAAATAAGCTTAGTAGATTTCCTCTGCCTGCCATTCTCTGAAAACACAATAAAAGTATTAAAAGTAAGTATTTAATTTTAATTTTTTAGATAAATTTAGGTAAGTTTATTATTTTTTTTTTTATTAATTTTTAAATTTTGCTAATGATTACACTGCATCGGACATATATGTAATTGGGGAAAATAATTTAAAGTCACATTATTTACAAATGCATAGATTAGCAAAAACCAAGAAAGGAAGCTAGCTTCGGCGACCCAAAGCTTATTACCCTTGAAGTCATCAAATGTGTTGGGCACAATACGTAAAGGCTTAACCATTTATATTTTCGATGATTGTTCATATGACAGCTACATTTATGATATAGTCCTCCGATTTTTATGAAATTTAATTCGAAAGTCAAGAATCGTTAGAGAACTCTATATTCTAAAGAATGATGAAAAACAATATATTCTTGATCAGCATTAAGATCTAAATCGAAATATTAGGTTGTTTGGTAATGACTAGAGCTCGGATAGTCATGCAAATGCATGTTCCATGCATATTGTGCATATTTTATTCCTTAGAGCATATTTTGATCGAAAGTGCATGTTTGAGCATATTTTAATATTTCATTCATCAAAACTGATAATAATTTAGCTGTGACATATGAAAATCATTCTGAAATTGAAAGTAAATTGACTTTCACGTTGTTTATTTTCATCAAATGATCAACACTAGGTACATTGATAACTTATTAATGGATTCTCAATGACTAATCATAATAAACGCTTTATTATATTCTTAAATTACACTGTGCGACAAAAAAATGTTTGAGTTGATTTTTTCTTATTTTTCACTTCTACTAGTCAAAATAAGAATACAAATTTTTGAATTTGTTAATATCAATAGCCAATCAGCTTCTAGGCACACTCAAAGGTCCAAAAAACGCGTGTTTTTGCATATTTCACAGCCTTATAATACCATATTGGGAAAATATTTTTTCACCGTTATAAGCGTTAATGCAAGTTCAATATCTATTAATTAAAATGTATTAAGCAAATATACCGTTAGGCTTTTATAACAATGCTTTAAAATTTTTTTCTCCCAGCTCTATACTCTGGGCGACTTTGTATGGAACTTGTTACGCGAGGATACCTCTGAAAAAGCCAAAAAAATCAGAAAAAAATTTCACTTTTAAAAAAAATAATAGTTTATTGGAAGTAAAAAAAAAAAATAATATTTTGTGTTAAATATTTTCATAATAATAATTTCATAAAATTTATCATAAAAAAAGAAATCCTATCACTTAGAAGGTGGCATAAATATTTTTGTGCATAACTTATGCCCCTTAACCGAAAACAATCAAAAAAGTAACTCAAGCAAACATTTCGTTAAATTTTGTCGCACAGTGTTATCATTTCTCTCGTGGCATTCAAAGTTATCGGTTGTTTCAAATCAACTTCAAATCAAATTGCGTATGAAAGTCGAATTTCCCAAAGTATTTCGGTCTGATAGGTTAGTTTTATTTTGTACGTATTGTGAATGTGCAGTTCAAGGAAAAAAATATTCCAAGTAAATCAGCATATTGCATCATTAAAATACAAATCTGAAAAAGAAAGAAGGAAGGAAAATGCCGATCAGGGAAGCCAATCGTTAGTATCGGATCTTGAACCAAAACCAAACCAAATTTGTCGAAGTTCAATGTAAATCTGTGCAAAACATTAGCTTTTATACATAAAGAACCGCCTTTTCTAACATATTATGACTATTTGTTGCATGATTCTTTCATATTTTATTGTATTTTTGAATGCATATTCTTGAGCATATTTTGCTATTTTTCGTGCATATTTGCATGCATATTTTGGCCTTTTTTCGTGCATAACTATCCGAGCTCTTGTAATGACATACCGGTTTTTACATTCAAATTTCCCGCTTCGCTTGTGAAGTCAAATATAATCTGGCAATGCTGTATATCGTTTGAAAGGTTTTGGTATAACCTTCAAAATGACATAAACATAGTTTGATTACATGAGCTTCCACGTTAAAAAATTACAATCGATTGAAATGGAGTTCACAAACGCAGAAATTCGAGCAATTTTGAAATTTTCAACTCAGCACGAAAACCGTCCATAGGCATTTAAAGTCGAAAAATTTAACAAAAAAGCTCGATGTTTGGGTGCCTCATGAGTTATACCAAAAAAACCTTTTCTACCGTGTATTAATCTGCGAATCTTTGTTGCACCGTATTAAACTCGACTCATTTCTGGATCGGTTAGTCACTGGTGATGAAAAATGGATCACATATGACAACATAAAGCGTAAAAGATCCTGGTCGAATCACGGTGAGTCGTCTCAAACGGTGGCACAGCCAGGACTGACGGCTCAGAAGGTGTTGCTGAGTGTATGGTGGGATATCAGAGGAATTATCCATTATGGCCAAACCATCAATTCTGACCTCTACTGTACTGGACCGATTGAAGATTGCACTTGAACAGAAGCGGTCAGCAATGGTGAATCGTAAGGACGTTGTATTCCATCATGACAACGCCAGGCTCCATACAAATTTGGTGACGCGTCACAAACTACGGGAGCTTGGTTGGGAAGTGTTAATGCATCCACCTTATAGTTCGGACATTGCCCCAAGCGATTACCATCTGTTTTTGCCCATGCAAAATTTTTTCGATGGACAAAAATTGAGTTCAAGGAAGGATTGTGAAAATTGAATCGCCGAGTTTTTTGCCAGTAGGGACTCCTTTAGGAGAGGCATATACAAGTTACCGGACAATGCTAACTATGTTAAAATCGTCGTCAAAAATCAATAAAGAAACCGGTATGTCATTACCAAATAACCTTATAATTGACTTCACAAACGAAGCGCGAAATTTGAATGTAAAAACCGGTATGTCATTACCACAACCTAATATTTTATCATATCGACCTGATTTCTTCCAGATGGCGTTTTCTAACTACTATTGAATTTCCACATTCACCTTAGAGCAGGCTCATTGTTACCTGTAGGTATATGATATAAATGAGTATATTATTCCAAATAAAACAAGATTAGTTAATAATCAGATGAGAGCGTATAATGGTGTTTTGCGAAGTGTTTTTTTAATGAAGGAAAATTTTTTGGGACCGACAAGACCTTTATTAGTTACTACTAGCAAAAGTAAGGTCTCAAGGAAAGCTAGCCTTAGCAGTAGCGTAGTCAAGTATCGCTGCAACTTTATTAGCAGGTGGACGCACAGCTCATTCCACTTTTAAACTGCCCCTAACTGTTTCTTTAGAAAAGGATAGCGTGTGCTCTATACGTAAAAATGGTCCTTTGGGATCAATTTTACTAGAATTCACTTCAATTATCTAGGACGAATTTACCATGATCCATACAGCTCACGTAGAAGCTCTAGACAGAACTCGTAGAGATCTTAGAAGCTGTGATAAAATCATGGGTGGGATTACTGTTATGTTTGCTGGGGACTTCCGACATACTTTACCCGTAATAGTAAGGGGCACTAGGTCAGTCATTGTAAAGTCTTGCCTTAAAAGTTCTCCATTATGCAAGATTGTAAATATTTTTAAATTAGCAACAATAAGAGAGCCCACTTTGGGGGGAGGTAGTATATTTTTCACTTCAAAATTACTTTTAGTAGGAGACGGGAAAATACGTAGTTTTCAAAATAAAATGGAAATATATCACGTTTTGGGAATAAGAGTAGGTAACATTGAAGATTTAATATCAAAAGTTTACCTTGACATCAGTGGAATAGAAAATAAAGATGGATGTGTCAAAGGACAATATTGGCGGCGAGAAACATTAGCGTGCACGAAATTAATGACATCATTTTAAATAAACTTCCAAGAGGTGTAGTCACACACACATCTATTGATAATGCAGTAGAACAAGATGTGCTCCATTACCCACAGGAGTTTCCAAATTCTTGGAACCCAAGTGCCCTTCCTTCACATTCCCATAAGTCTGTAAGTCTTCAAGTCAAATGTCTTCGCAATAACGTGATCGTTGAAATAGTTTTGACTGGTCCAGCAGTTGGTCAAGCAGTGCTTATACCTCGCATCCCGATGATCCCAAATGATTTATGGGGATAGATTTTCGCCAAGAGTCTTGGTCCAAGACTGTTTTCACATGGCCAAACATATGGCCCATACCATGCCACTACTGCAGCCATGCTTAACTGTAGTATTTAGATTCTTGCTTTGGAGCTCTGTATTTTACCTATGCTAAACATATGTAAATAGCTCCATCAGACCCGGAAATATTATATTTGGGCTCGTCTGCAAAATTAGGGTGTTTCAAAAAGCTAAATCCTTGCACGACCACTTCGTTGGCAACTTTTTGGCGAAGAGTCTAAATACTACAGTAAGCTTGGTATGGGCCTGTATGTCGGCAGCTGGCGTCGGAAGTCCTCGATGGACAAGGTTCAATATTTTGAAATTTTGAAAGCCAATTTTCTCGAAAATGCTGTAGAACTTGGATATCGGGAGAATTTTCGATTCTACCAAGGCAATGCCCCAAACCACAAATCGGATACTGTACAGTCCTGGCTGATTTGGAAAGGCACCATACATAAACGTAATGAAAAATTTCTGGGTAATTCTGGACCCAAAAAATCCCTATTAGGGAGAAAAAAGCTGGTGGAATCGATGTAAAAACGGATTAAAATGGTCATTGACAACAACGGTGGCCAAAACAAGTATTAATTTTTCTTATTTTCTTCATTTAAATCAGTTAAAAAATGTATTTTCTCAGCTGGTTCAACCAGCTGCTCTAGTATTTTTTTTTAACTCTTATTAAGTATGTATTAAAAAAATGCTACAAAAAAGGAAACAAGAATTTTATGTCAAAGGTTCACACCACAAACCTTCTTTTTATTAATTTATTAGCTCTCATGGTTTGCTAGATATATAAAAAAGTTTTTTTTGAGGTGCTGGTTGAAATACGAGCCACCAAAACCAAACTTTTAATTTATCAAAACAAGCATGTGCCAGGGTCAAGGCGTAAGATGATATATCATGGTTTCTATGATTAATTCATTACCATTACGTAATTTTTATCAGTATTTAACACGTTTTTATCAATTATGATTTTTTGCTTAAAAATATTGATATTCAATAAATCAATTTTAAATAAACGTTAAGTCAATTAATTTATTTCGTCCATTTTTATTAAATTTTTAGTTCAAAGAAAATATGAGCATTGTATTTTAATATTCGTGAGCGGTATTCTTGATGGTTTAGTCAGTCTGCTGGCTTTGATGAGTACACCAGGGTTGCCAACTCGGATATTAAAAAAGGCGTAGGTCAGATAAAGAAAGTTATGTAGAAATGTGAAATTGCCATATAAAAAATATGTAGATCTACGTACTTTTTTTCTGAGTGAAATTAAGAGAGAAGGGTAGGTAAAAGTAAATAAAATGACAATTTATATTACCCTAAAAGTAGTAGACAGCAAACAAACAACAAATTTAAAAATAAAAAAATCTATGAATTATAGATCTACCAGAATCTCATGGCAAATAAGCCAAACTTTACATGCAAATATAAAATCATCTATTTATTTATTACCAGTAAATGATCTGTTTATATAGATATTTATATATTTGCACATAGAGTTGAAATAAAAAAGGCTAAATAATGAATGGATTTTAATATATTTGTGTATAAAGTTTGGCTTATTTGCCACGAGATTCTGGTAAACCTATACCACCTGTAGTTAATTTAAGGGGGGGTAAGGTTTTAAAAATTTTTTTACATTTTTTTTTTATTTTTTTTCTGAATGACCAATATGTCAAGAACATTGTGTACAAATTTTGAGTCAATTAAAGTCAAACTAACGGAGCTACAGCGTTTTAAACAACCGTATTTGGACGTATTTTCACGTAAAAAAAATACTTTGAATCGATTTTGCCGAAGACGCTATTTTGAAAGTCGGTGAACATCAGAACTCAAAATCTACTGAACCGATCCTTTTCCAATTTTTAACACAAATTCTCTACATAAATACGCAGGTAATCAGGAAGAGTTTTTTTAATTTTTAATTTTTTTCTATTGTTAAAAAATAAATTAACAGCGATTTTTAAAGCTAAAATAGCACTTTTCACTTTCAAGTGCTCCCAAAAATAGACAAAAAATAAATTTAAAAAAAACTCTTCCTAATTACCTCGGGAAATTCATTATCTTTACAACGCATATCCCGTTTTTTTTTTTAAGATGATCCGTTAACGCCCTATGATGTTCACCGCAAAACAACTTTTTCTTTAGGCGCTTCGGAAGATTAACCGCCACAGGCTTATTTCTTAATATTTTTTAATAATTTTTTTTTTTCGAATACTCTTCAAAAGTTAAACAATAACATGTAATTAAGCTCAATAAAATAAACTTACTCATTTCGCCGCAAAAAAAAAAATCAAACATGGCCCTTTTTTTGGCTTTTAAAACCTTACCTACGTAAAAAGACGTAGAGTTGGCAACCCTGGAGTACACGAATATCTTTGTCATATTTTGCCATGGTTCATAAACGTGTGTTAAAAAAGCTTAACATACAATTCCCGGTAAAGTTGTGCTTTAGCGGCTTTTGCTAAAAATGGTCTAGGAATTTTATTTTTTTTTAAAGGGGCCTAAACATTAATAAAAAAGTGGCGGAAAGCTTGATTTCTAATTATTTATTTGTAAAAATAGCAAAAAAGCAACTGGCCATAGCTTTCCTGGGTATTCACTCAGTACTATAAAATCACTCTGAGTCATTTCGCAACCTTTACAGCGTTCAGTACTAATATTGGCAGTGTCTGACATGGTGAAATTGTTTAATTTCTTTTGTTTTTAAATTTTCACTCAATTGCAGCACTCTTCATTCACAATACATTTTTCGCGGTAAAGTTTTTCGCTTGAAAAACATGGCAATGTTCTAAAACGGGTTGTCTCGCGGCAGTGATAATTGCTGTTTTAACTAATTTTTTAAATTTTTAAGTTTTAAATAATTAAAATTTACGCTTTCCGCCATTTTTTTTATTAATGTTTAGGCCCCAAGGTATCCCTTAAAAAAAAAAAAACATTCCTAGCCCGTTTTTAGCAAAAGCCGCTAAAGCACAACTTTACCCAATTCCCTACGTACAAATTTATATACGTATGTACGTACATACTTATATAGTCATGTCAGTAATAATTAAGGAACTTTAAACACATGTAAATAACTTTACTTAATTCTACCAACAAAAAAACACATTCTTAGCAATGACCATAGAATGCAACTTTACCAATTGGATAAGCAGTTTATAAATATTTTACACGTCACTATCAACACGAATAAAAAATAAGCAATGTTTATATATATATATTAGTTTAAACGCAACAATATACCTTTAATTTTAAACTAAACTTTCAAAGAACTTTTAATATTCAAACTTGCACGCTTTCTCAAATGTTTCCCTAAACTAGAGCTGGGTCGACCATTCAAATTATTTTCGATATATCGAGTATTTGGGTTTCCGAACCAATATCGATATTCAGAGTTGATGGTAAACGATAGTTGCAAGTGAAAAAAGGGTAATTGTTTCGATATATCGCTATTTTTGATATTTTTTGTGTTAAATGACCACATTAAAAAGACAATAAGTTTCGGTAATTGTTTACAAGTGCGGTCCGGACTTCGAAATCCGTTGGCGGAAAGTGAAAATTTTGCACCTTTTTTTTGTTATTAACAATTAAAGATGCGATTGTTAGTACAAATTCGGACCTGGGTGACCGATTTGCAACGGATTTCGAAATGTTAGAAAAAAAACACATCATTTCCAAATTTTATTTATTTTTTAAAGCTGTTTTTACTGTGCACCGCACTTGTAAACAATTACCCGATACTATCGATGTTATCGAGTATTTGCTTCAAAAACCTCGAAAATATCGAATATGCTAAAACCCGAAGTTTTCCCAGAATATATATTCTTGATCTGCACACTCCGGTGCATACATCATTTCATACATATGCATACATAACATCGCCATATTGCGACTTTGTATAATTTCCAATTGCAAATTTTTTCCAATTGCATTCCTAGATGCAGTCCACATCTCCAAGAACATCAAAAACATTAATAAAACAATTACAAAGAAATAAAAATCCAATAAAAATAAAACTGCAAATTCCATTAATATTCCATTAATTAATTCCATTAATATATATACATATATGCATCCCGTTTTAGTAACTATATTATAACATCCAATTTCAACATACATATACATCTCTTCCAGCAAGTGAAAAGTGCAAAGAGAAATAAAAATAAATCACAAATTAAAATTATTTTGTGTGGGCAAATACTTTTTGTCCAGTGTGTGTATTCCAAGTGCATTTACATAAGCAGCAAGCAAGGGACGAAAGCTCTGCATATATCGACGCATTTCCGCGACTGTATCGTATGTCGCTTTTTTTTCGAAATTGAGATTTTAATGCAAAATTGTTAGCCACCTAATGTCCCACTACCCTGTGAAATATTATAACTGAAAGCCCTATTGTTCCGATAAAAATTAAGATTCAATTTTATGGTATGTTACAATGTGCGCGCGAAATTATCGTATGTCCATACAAATTTGCATGGAAATACTGCAATCGCACAAAAATACCGAAATACAAAAATAAAGAAAAAGCTTCTCCTGTAGAATTTGATTTTTCTACATACGATACAGTCGCGGAAATGCGTCGATATGAACGTTATGCGTCCAGCATAATTACAATCAAAGAGAAATAAATAAATAGTATTGTGCGTAAGCTGGGGCAAACATATTTTTTGTTGCCCAGTGTACTGTACACTATATTTCCACTAACCACATCATCGATAAAATTCCGCATCACAAATCTATGCATGCTCCTATAATATTTCCGGCTGATATTAATATCCATTTTATTTATATATATATTATATGTTTATTTTTTTGCGTTTTAATATTTTCTAAAGGCGTAAATTATTTAAAGGAAAATACGAGACACAAATAACAAAAACAAAATACATACATACGAAACACAAATAATAATACAAAATACATACATACGAACCACCAGTTAATAAATAAAAATAATTGTTTAATAAAATAAATAAAGTAAATAATAAATTAATAAATAAAAATAATTAAACAATTAATTATTTCTTTTCCAACCATCCAAAGGCGGCGCCAAATAATTTTTTGGCTGTTGCATATATTTTTTAAAATCTTTATATAAAAAACAAAAAAAAACCGGAACAATTATTTCTCAAAAATCGACTTTTCCATTCCACGTGAGCTCTCTGATATTTTTTATTGTTTAAAATAAATTCAGAACATCTCCAGATAATTTTAAGACGTTCCATTCCACGCGTTTCAAGGCTTGGGTTTTTTCTAGCACCGCGATTGGATTTTGTTTGTTTTTTGGTTTGCAACCACCCGTGCCGTACGTCTACCCTCCCTCTTGCTGACTATTTTGCAGCTGGATACACGGCGGTGCTGCTAGGTACGGCAATGCTGGATATTTGCCATCTTGGGACGAAATATAGGGCTCACGCCCTAATCGATTCGGGCTCCGAGGCAACTTTTATTTCCGAACGCCTATTCAGGCTCCTCAAGCTGCCGTTCCGCCCAATTAACGCCAAGGTCTCCGGTTTAAATCAGACCGTTTCCGCCCAGTCGACCAGGCAGTGTCATTTCGCGATAAGTTCGCCCTCCAAACCCGGCCTGCAGCTAAATACAGCAGCTTATGTGCTGCCGGAATTAGCAGGCAATTTTCCATCGTGTCCGATTCCAAAAGACGAACTGTCTGGCTTGCCTAATCTTCCTCTAGCAGACCCTACGTTCTCCGAAGTTTCCAAAATAGCGGTACTGATCGGAGCTGACATTTTGCGATCCGTGCTGCTAAGCGGCACAAGGACAAATATCTGCGGCTCTCTCCTCGGTCAGGAAACTATTTTCGGTTGGGTGCTTACAGGCCCAGTGTCCAGCACACCAAACCATGGCAGGGTCTCCGCGTTTACAACCCAGATCAGCGAAACGGCAGATAAAGAGCTAAATAAGCTTTTGACAAAGTTTTGGGAGGTGGAAGATCTACCAATTAAAATGGTAAAGGAGCCGGATTCCTATTGCGAAAGCAATTTCCGTCGAACTACGACAAGGGACCAAAGCGGGAAATACGTAATAACATTACCGTTTCGCGATCCAGAGCATTCTGGGTCCAGTTTGGGGTACTCGAGATCCATCGAATTGGCTCAGTTTCTTCGAAATGAAAATAGATTGAAAAGAGACTTTCCGTTAAAAGAGCAATACGACTCCGTCATTCAGGAGTATCTGGATCAAGACCACATGAGGCAAGTACCTCCGACTCAGGACACTCCGTCCTACTACCTTCCACATCATGCGGTCATTAAGTCCGAAAGTACCACTACAAAACTGCGAGTGGTATTTAACGCATCCAGCCCTTCAGCAAATGGGACCAGTTTGAACGATGTGCTTCACGCTGGCCCAGTCCTACAATCGGATCTAACGATTCAGATTTTGAAGTGGCGTTTTTTCCAGTACGTCTTTAGTGCCGACATTACCAAAATGTATCGACAGATCTGGGTTAATCCGAAACATACGCCTTTCCAGAGAATTCTGTTCCGAAACATGGAAGGAGAATTACGCGACTACGAGTTGAGGTCAATTGCGCCCCTTTTCTGGCGATCCGAGTCCTCCAACAACTGGCAAGTGATGTCGAAGTTCAGTTTCCAAGGGCTAGCCATATTATTCGGCAGCACATGTACGTCGACGATGTCCTAGCAGGGGCAAATTCCATACAAGAGGCCAGGCGAGCCATTCGAGAGCTATAGGATGCTCTCAATTCCGTAGGATTTCCCTTAAGGAAGTGGACATCGAACCATAAAGAGGTTCTCAAGGACATTCCTAGCGTGCATCGTCTCCACAATGGCTTCCTTGAAATCGATGCTGACAGCTCCGCCCAGACGCTTGGAATTCGATGGGAAGCTACTTCCGACGAGTTCTTCTTTGTACCGCCGGTGATCGGTATAGAATCGTCATACACGAAGCGGGAAGTGCTCTCCCAGATCGCCAAACTATTCGACCCCGCAGGTTGGCTGGCGCCATTCATAGTGCGTTCCAAAATGTTCATGCAGGAGATTTGGCTGCAAGAATTGGGCTGGGATGAAAAGCTTCCCAACGAGATGAGCCAAAAGTGGCAAGAGTTTTTGCGCAGCTATTCCGATCTTAACAAGATCCGCATACCGCGATGGAATGGCTACAATTCCGATGTGAGAATCGAGCATCACGGGTTCTGCGACGCTTCCCAAAAGGCGTATGGGGCAGCCATATATGTGAGAGTTGAGGTGGGCAATAAAATACTGGCGCATCTCATTACGGCCAAGACACGAGTAGTAAAAACCGTGTCCCTTCCTAACATGCCGACGGGTCCTTCCAAGCTGTTCTGTTGGCCAAAAGCCCACCACATTCGTGGCCAACAGAGTTGTCAAGATAATTCAAGCGACAGATGCCGAGAATTGGTCGCACGTTCGATCCGAGCAAAATGCTGCCGACTTAGCCAGTCGTGGCGTTCCTTTCAGCGACCTGGTTGGAAGTCAACTCTGGTGGCATGGTCCTGAGTGGTTACAAAGAGCGAGACCAGTGGCCAGCAGTGTCCGTCCAAAAATCCATCCACTTAGTTAGAGCAGCGCGTGGTTAAGAGCAATTTCGCTAAAGCAGCCTCCGAGAATTTCCTTACGCGTTTTTCCAAGCTCGACAAAGCCCTACGAGTCCTGGTGTATGTGCTCCGTTTTCCGACTCGTTGCCGTAAAGGTCCCAAAGGACCAGCGAGCCCTCCTACAAACATCGAAATTCAGCGCGAGGAATATGTCCAAGAGCTTAATTCCTTGAACAGTAAACGTCCGTTGACTGGTTCAAGTCCGATAAAGAAACTTTTTCTGTTCATAGACCAACAAGGCCTATTAAGAGCTAGTGGCCGCCGCTCAGCCTCAAAGGCCCTGATGTATGATGAGCGTCACCCTATCATCCTGCCTTACAGTTGTCGGCTGTCTCGCCTCTTAGTCGAGTTCATCCACCAGATTTCGCTTCATGGCGGCAATCAGTTGATGATACGCCTAATCCGAGCGAAATATTGGGTTCCAAAGCTTAAGAATCTAGTAAAGGCGGCAGGGAGTTCTTGCAAGGTGTGCATCATCCTCAAGAAAAGGCTGCAGTCGCAACTGATAGGCGATCTTCCGACAGACCGCGTCTCCTTCATGAGGCCTTTTACCTACACCGGCATTGAGAACGTAGGCCCTTTTGAGATTAAAAATTACACAGGAAGAGCGTGCCTCATTACAAAGGGGTACGTCTGCGTTTTTGTGTGCTTCTCAACTAAGGCCATCCACTTGGAACCGACCTCTGACTTAACAACAGACAAGTTCCTTGCGGCATTCGCCCGGTTTGTGGCCAGACGAAGTTGTCCCCAGCGGGTCTATTCAGACAACGGCAAAACCTTCGTAGGAGCAGCAGCATTGCTATCCCGTTATTTCCTGCAAGCGGTCAAGGAGTCTGCGATGGGTACATACGGCCATCAAGGGCTTCTATGGCGTTTCATTCCGCCAGGCGCACCGCATATGGGAGGCTTGTGGGAAGCGGGTGTGAGAAGTTTCAAAACACTTTTTTATAAAGCCACGTCCAGTCGAAAATACACATTCGAAGAGCTTTCGACGCTACATTCCAAGGTTGAAGCATGCCTTAACTCCCGGCCTCTCTCTCCAATGTCCGAGGATCCCTCCGACTTGCTGGCATTAACGCCAGGCCATTTCCTGATTGGGGGTCCGTTGCCCTCTACAGCTGAGCCCGAAATCAAAGGGGAAGCTAAGTCGATAACAAATCAATGGCAACACCTCAAGGCCCAGCATCAGCAGTTTACTGTGCGATGAAAAGAGGAGTACCTGAAAGAACTCCATAAGCGCAACAAATGGCAAGCTCCAAACCGGAATATCCAAGTTGGCGATATGGTGGTTGTCAAAGAGGACAACATACCATCCAACCACCAGAATGTCCGCGCCAAGACGGGACACTTTTTTATGGCAGTGTAACAATTAACAGACCAGAGAGCAGTTCTCTCCAGATGAGCTCTCATCTCGCTCTCTCGGTCTGCTAATTGTCTCCACACCGCTCTGCCGCCCTCTCCTGGATTTACATTCAAGTAGTGTAAAAACTGACCTGTGCCAATAAAGTCATTTATTTTCAAGTTCAATAAAGTTCTTTATTTCCGCGACACGCAAGTCATACATTTTCTTTTTCGAGTGATCGTACTATCAAGAAGGAAGTCCACCCCCCCACAATCAAATGAGATTTCACAACGAGTACCAATTCTGCTGTGTCCATCATTGAAACAAAAATTATACTTGGCCTAGATTTTTGGAGAAAGTTTAAATTAGCACCAGAAGTAGTCGGGGTGGAATCCCTACAGCAGATGGAATCAGAGTTCCTGACCAAAGAAGATCCAATAGAACCTTATACATTATCATCAGAGCAGACCGAGAAACTAGAAAAATCCAGAGCATGTTTTCTAACGTACAAAAAACAAGGATTAGGACTCACCCGAGTAGAAGAACACACGATCCAGTTGGTTGAAGGCACAGTACACGTTAAGGAACGATTTTTCCCAGAATCTCCGGCAAAGCAGCAGTTATTATTCGCTGGAGTGGATGAATTATTGAAATGAGTGAAAGTCTATGGAACAATCGGACGACGTTGGTTCAGAAACCTGGAAAGAACAGACTATGTTTAGACGCAAGGAAGCTGAATGCCGTGGCCGTAAAGGACGCTTACCCATTACAAAATATCGAGTCGATTTAAAGCCGAGTAGATGATACGATTTTTATCAGCAGCATCGACCTAAAGCATGCCTTTTGGCAAGTGGAGCTGGATGAGAAAAGTCGTCCACCACGGCTTTTACAATCGCGGGCCGACCACTGTAATTCGTCTCAGAGATTATGTAGGGTGATGGATAAGGTGATCCCACAGCGACTGCGCAGTCGAGTGTTTGTGTACCTGGATGATTTGCTGATGATATCCAAGACCTTCGAAGAACACTGCATATTGCTGAAAGAAGTGGCAGAGTATTTAAGTAAAGCAAATTTGACGATCGGTATGCAAAAATCCAAATTTTGTTTCAAATACCTACGATATTTGGGATATATCAACGGCGATGGAGCCTTACGAACTGCTCAAAAAGAAGGTTGTCGGGTCATCCAGCCGCAGCAGATATTTATGTTATCTTAATGCTAGCTCTTAGCTTAGCTGCATAATTGCCATCGCAAGTTATTTATTAAAATGAATTAGATTTAAGTATAACAAAAACCACCCTAACGTAAAATTGTCAAAATAAGAATTTTGTCCAACACAAAAATTTAAATAAAAAATGAAATAATATTCTGTCGTCACATATTTAATTATTTATTTATTTTTTCCCAAGTATTTACTCCAAATAATCACGTGTGATACTCGCCATAATTATTGATTATTTATTTATTACAATTTATTTATTACTATTTATTTATTACTATTTATTTATTTATCTCTATATATAAGTACATATATGTTCCTTGTAATTCGTCCTTCGGTACCGTGGCTAGGTGTATTATTATGTTAGTATTTAAGGACAAGAATCGAAATTATATCGAAATGGAAAAAATGAATTTCTGCGAGTAGAACTTTGTGTTGGGGGGATGAGGTGAGTTAGGCAAGATGCCACGACCCACAACTTAAAGTTGGGAGTTGTGTCCGAGGCATGCCCTAGGATCCACTCATGGTTGGGAGAGACTCCAAGGACTGTAAATTTGGCCGTGTAGTCCAGTCTAGATGTTCCAAAATCCGTTGTGTGAAAATTAGCCATTGTCCAAGTTTGAAAATTGTTTTTGTTTTGTCTGCTGCGTGGAAATATTCGTGGTTGTTCCCCTCCCTGGGATAACGTTGACTAGCCGGCAACTCCACCGCGCGAAAAGCAGGACATGACAAGCAGTTACAAATGACAGTGATACCAAACTTTTGATACACTCAGTAACAATATCAGTAAAAAAATCGAATGGAAATAATACAGCATTTCTACTTTAAAACAAGAAAGGAAGCTAGCTTCGGCAAGCCGAAGCTTATATACCCTTGCAGTCATCAAAAGGCTAAACAACATCGAAGCTAAGACGATTTTTCTATTCATTTTGCATATTTTCGACTATAGATCATATGGGAGCTATATGATATAGTTGTCCGATTTTCATCAAATTTAATTCGTAATTCAAGAGTCGTTAGACAACTTTAAATTTCAAAAATCATGCTTATCAAATAAAAACCAATGATGTTATAATTTTATTTCCGTTATTTCTATATAGATTTTTCGATCTTTCCTATGGCAGATATAAGATACAGTTGTCCGATTTTTATGAAACTTTTTTCTTAATATAAGGGTTGTTAAAAAACTTGATATTCAAAAAATCATGCTCGTGGGATAAAAAACAACGATGCTATCAATTTATTTCCATTAATTCTATATATATTTTTTTATCTCTCCTATGGCAGCTATATGATAGAGTTATCCGATTTTGCTCAAATTTAATCCGAAATTCAATAACAGTTAGAAAACGCCATCTTGAAGAATTCAAGTCGATCTGATCAAAAACAACAGAGTGAGAATTTTTAATTTCATTCTCTTGTTTCGGAGCTATCCGATATAGTCGGCCGATCCGGCCCGTTCCGACTTATATACTGCGTGCAACAACTACACAACTTTTGGGAAAGTTTTAGCACGATAGCTTTAAAACTGAGAGACTAGTTTGCGCGAAAACGGACAGACGGACAGATGGACAGATGGACAGATGGACAGACGGACAGACGGACAGACGTACAGCTATATTTCGATTCTGCTGATCAAGAATATATATACTTTATGGGGTCTGAGGTGTCTCCTTCACTGCGTTGCAAACTTCTGACTGAAATTATAACACCCTTTTGCTCTGCAAGGGTATAATAATCGTACGTCAGGAAGACAGGTAGCTGAAGCTCAAAGAAAGCTTCTAACAGCAGAAGCAATACCTCTCACCATAATTGATACATTGGAATTTTTGCTAGAAAATTAATTAACAAACAATTTTACCATGAAATTCGTCAAATAAGTAAAATACTTAATTGGCATATCTACCCAAACTACCACAAAGTACAGGAAACAAAATTACACTTGAGGCCTGTGGGAATAACAGCGAAAGTAACAGTTGCAGAAATTGCTCTACGAAATTTTTTTTAATCATAGAGCTAGCCGAAATTTATTGTTACAGGAGGAAATATTCGTTAATTTAGAAAGTATGACCAGCGTTAAATTAAGATGAAGAAGGAAACATTTTTTGGAATAATGGATCCCCGCAATCTGTAAGATTTTGTCGCTCTCTCAAAATGAAAAAAACCAGGAAAGTTGTGTAGTTATTGCACGCAGTATTTAAGTCGTAACGGGCGTCTGTATCGAAAAGCTCCCATATGAAAGATTAAAAAAAAATTATTTCTCCGTTGTTTTTGATCATATCGACTTGATTTCTTCCAGATGGTGATTTTGAACTACAATCGAATTTGTTTTTATCCGAGCATGACTTTTAGAACACTATACCCTTAAAACGAGAAAATATTGGACTACTATATCAAAAAGCTGTCATAGAAAATATCAAATTATTTATATAGAACTAGAGGTCCTGTGCCCGCTTCGCTGGTCAACACAATTTAACAACATAATATATGGAAGTATAGAAAGATGGTGAAAAATTAGAAGCGTTTTTCTAAATATTAAATTCCGAAAATTTGGGTGGCTAATTAATGTTTTTATTTTGGCAAAACGAAACGAAAATAATGCGTGCGCTCGGTAAGACTCAATTTCAACGAATGCTCTATTCTCCACAATCATACTTAAGCCTAGCTTACCGAAGGTTGGCGAAGACGGAGCGAACTCGCAGAGAGCGAACGAAAGCTTTATTGCGCTCCCGCCTTCGCCCTAAACTAACTTACAGTAAACTTCAAATTCAATTCAATAAGACTTATTTTAACAATTCAAAAAATAAAAAGAAAAACTGGCTTCAGCCAACACCGGCCCCGTTGAAGGCCCATCCGGCTTCAACAAACTGGAAGCGGCGCCAATTTATGGATGGCCCGCTTAAAAATTCCTCCTCCGCTGGTCCTCACTTCGACGACCCTGACCATGCCGTCCTCTCCTGCGTGAGTGGCGATGATCCTCCCTATCAGCCATTGTTGAGGCGGCAGGTTGTCCTCGGCGACGACGACCAGTTGTCCTTCCTGGATGTTGGGCTGCTCCTGGTGCCACTTGCCCCGAATTTGCAGGCCCAGCACATAATCCAGGGACCATCGCCGCCAGAACATTTGCCTGGCTGACGAGACAAGTTGCCATCGCCGCAAGCAACTGAGACCCGCCTGGTCCGGGGTCCGGAGTGCTGGGATGGGGAATAGCGGCCCGCCTGTCAGCAGGTGCCCTGGTGTTAGCGCTTCTCCGTCGCTGGGATCGTTGGATAGCGCGCCTAGCGGCCGGGAGTTCATCGCCGCCTCGATCCCGACGAGCACCGTCTCCAGCTCTTCTGCGGTTAGGAGCGCGCTGCCCACCGCTCGTAGGAGTAGGTGCTTTGCAGTTTTCACACCTGCCTCCCAAAGCCCGCCCATGTGCGGAGCCCGAGGCGGTGTGAATGCAAACTCGCATCCGCTTCTTGACGCGAATTCTCGAATGGCGTCTGCCTCCTTCTCTATGCGCTCCCGAAGGCCCTGGAAGTGGCGACTCGCTCCGACGAAGTTCGTCGCGTTGTCGCAGTGGACTGTGCGAGGGCATCCTCGGCGCCCAACGAACCTTTGGAAAGCCAATAAGAAGGAGTTAGTGGTTAAGTCTGACACAATTTCTAAATGAACCGCTTTGGACGCAAAACACACAAAAAGCGCTATGTAGGACTTATACGGAGGCCTTCCACGAATTTTCAATGTCGTATAGACGGGGCCACAAAAATCAACGCCACAGATACTAAATGGGCGGAGAGCACGGAGACGATCTGCGGGTAAATTTCCCATAATTTGCGTCATTAGTCGAGGCTTGCATTTAAAGCAGCGAATACATGATCGAACTATTTGACTGCAGACCTCCTGAGCGTTTACGATCCAAATACGCTGTCGAAGGAGACTCACAAGTGCTCGTGGCCCGACATGAAAATTGGTTAGATGCAAATGCCGGACATAGCTCTGCACAAATTGGGAGCATTTTGTCAACAGCAGGGGAAACTTGGCATCGTACGTTATAGGAGCATTTGCTAATCGCCCCCCAACTCGCAACAACGAAAAATTACACCAAGTGCCTGAGTCTTCATGAATGAATGGGTTCAATCGTTGAAGACTTGGGCCAACTCTGGAGTTCTTCCGAACTTTTTCAAGAACTTCGTGATACTCGTGTTTCTGGATGGTCTCGACAATTTTTAAGAAGGCTTCGTTGTACTCATTCGGAGACAGAGTTTTTTCAAAAACTATACTCTTGTCTCTGCATTTCCTTATAAAGCGGAACATGTAACCGAACACTCTAAGCAGCTTGAGGTGTGACGAAAATCCCTCGATGACATCTACCAGTTCCGACTTCCGTACCGTGGCGGCCATCGTTACCACAGTCTTCCTTGATTCTTCAATTAGGACCTTTTCATCGAGAACGAAATGTGAATTTCTGGGCCAGGTCTCTTCTCCATTCTTCAAAAAGGATGGTCCAGTAAACCAGATTGAATCGCTAATTTCCTCTATGTCACAACCTCTTGATACAATATCTGCTGGGTTCTGGTTAGTTGGGACATGCCGCCACGTAGCTTCTCCTGACCACTCCTGAATCTCCGCTACCCTATTCGAGACGAATATCGACAAAGAAGACGGATGGGATCGAATCCAATGCAACGTAACTTCCGAGTCTGACCAATAGACTATCCGTTCGATAGGGACCTTTAATAGGGGTTTGATTCTGTGACAGAGATCTGCGAGAAGGTGAGCGGCACATAACTCAAGCCTTGGGAGCGTTTTAGTCTTGAGCGGCGCTACTTTAGATTTTGACGTCAGTAATGACAGTTTAATACCTTCTGCAGTTTTGCTACGAATATAGACGCAAGCTCCATAAGCTCTCATGGATGCGTCGGCAAAGGCATGCAATTGAACCGGTGACATCGGATCGGTGTGCACATACCGCGGAATTGTTATCTCTTCCAAACGAGACAATGTATTTTTCAACTTATTCCACGCAGTTTCCAAATGCACAGGAATCGACTCATCCCAATCCAACTTGTTCAGCCAGAGTTCCTGCAATAGGATTTTTCCTCTGATTACGATAGGACTAAGCAAGCCGAGGGGGTCGAACAGCTTCGATGTCACCGATAGTATGTTCCGCTTTGTCGCTCTGAGACCCATGACGGAATTGTCAATTTCAAACTTGAAAGAATCTTCGTTAGGCAACCACGATATGCCTAACGCCTTCGTCGACTCTGAATCCGAGATCGGTATGGATTTAACTGTGCTCTCAGATGCGGTGACCTCAGGTGAGTTCGAAAACCACTTTGTCAATTCAAACCCGGCGGTTTGAAGAACCTGAGACACTTCAGACCTAATAGATCTGAGCTCCTCGACGCATGCAGCACCAGTTAGCATATCATCGACGTAAAAGTCGGATCCAATCACTTCAGCAGCTCTAGGGAATGAAAGTTTGGCAGATTCACTCAACCTTTTTAAACACCGAATCGCTAGATATGGAGCTGGACCAGTTCCATATGTTACGGTGTTGAGCTGGTATAATCTCAAGGATTCTGAGGGGTCTCTTCTCCACACTATGAGTTGAAATGGCCTATCCGCTTCATTTACCATTACTTGACGATACATTTTTTTAACATCGGCTGTCAGAGCAAACCTGTGCAGCCGGAAGCGGAGCAGTGTGGAGTATAACTCATCTTGGATAGTTGGGCCTACCATCAAGATATCATTTAGGGACACCTGAGATGACGTTTTGCAAGAGGCGTCAAACACGACACGCAACTTAGTAGACGTACTCTGGGGCCTAAGGACACACTGATGCGGAATAACATAATGTGGAGTCAAAGGAACTCTATTGTCTGTAGGAGACATATGACCTAACGCGAGGTATTCTTCCATGAACTCGAGATACATTTTCTTTAATTCAGGATCTCGCGACAACCTTCTTTCGAGCAACAGAAATCTCCTTTTTGCAACCTCGAATGAGTTGCCCAATCCAGTGGGATCAGATTTAAACGGCAATCTAACTTCAAACCGACCTGATGGCAAAACCTGAGTGGTCTTTCTATAGTGTTTTTCACACAACTTATGCTCAGGTGATAGAATTTTCTTTATAGATGGCATTTCTTCCAGTGACCAAAACTTTTGTAGTGTGCTATCAATCGATACTAATAGCTCTTCACTACAACTGAAACTATTCACAACATCTCTTGGGGCAGACGCCTTGTATCTGCCTGAAACAACCCATCCAAGTAGGGTCTTTTGAAGAGTTGGATAGTCAGGACCTTGCTTAATTTGACCAACAGCTAAAAGCTCGAAAAATGATTCTGCTCCTATCAACATATCTATTCTTTGTGGCTTGTAGAAATAGGGGTCTGCTAATGGTACGTTCTTTGGAATTTTCCAGTCACTGATATTCACAGACTGGTCCGGATGATATCCGGATATCGATTTCAAAATCCAAAAATCGAACGAAAATTCACTACCATTTATTCGCGACTTCACCACTGTGTGTACCTTTTTCTTAACTTGAGAATTGGATTCGCCAATACCAAGTAAGTTGATACACGATTCCTCTTTACGGATCTGTAAGCGGCGAGCAAGGTCTTCTGTAACGAAATTGGCTTGAGACCCAGAGTCAAGAAGGGCTCGAGCCAAAATGTATTCACCGCTTTTCGTGCGGACACTTACGATCGACGTGGCCAAAATCACCCTGTCCAACGATGTCGCATGCATAACATGTGACGTGGAAGGCTGATCCTGACTTTTAGAGGGAGACAGACTCTCTTGGGGTGGTGGCAACGCTAAACTATTCTCGGAGACGGTATACCTGTGCAGTAAAACGTGATGCGAGCGACCACAAACTCGACATTTACTACTCTTGCATTTGGAAACCGTATGACCCTTTCGCAGACAATTTATGCACAAAGACGCAGATTTAACAAAATCGAACCTTTGCATTACTGACAGCCGACCAAACGGACTGCAGTTCGCTAGGACATGGTCTCCAGCATTGCAATAGCTACAACTTTGCACGGACTTAGTGTTGGTCGAAGAACACGAAAACGAGCTTCGATTATGTTTGCTCGGAATTAATTTATCTTGCTTTGGTTTTGATGTTTCCTCAGCAGATAAATGCTGATATCGGCGATTCAACATCTTCTCACAATCGGACCAAAGCGGCAAAGTTTCATAATCGAGCTGTTCTTCCCATTTTTGTTTAGTCACTGGGTCTACTCTGTTCAAGACGAGATAAATCAACATTGCATTGGATATTTTTGTATCATCTCCTATCGATAACAACGATCCATAAATTGATGAAACGGTATCGATAAGGCTTCTTAAGGAAGACGCTGATTGGTGCGTAATTTTTGGAAGAGTGAACAATGTTGAGATATTATTCATAAAAATCAAGCATTCGTTATCGTAGACTTTTTTAAGGCTGGCCATAGCCTTCTCATAATTGCTCGCGGTGACTTGATAAGCCTTAATAGTCCCTAAGGCTTCACCGGAGAGACACGAAATTAGGTGGTTAAATTTCTCGATAACTGGAATGCTGTCGTCTTGATGAACGAGAGTTTCAAAAAGGCTGATGAAATTTTTAAACTCCGAATATTTGCCGCTGAACTTTGGCAAGGCCAAATTCGGAAGTCGAGCTCGAGTTGGGGCTACAGAAGCTGATCCGGAAATTTTTGGATCGCTTGCTGTCTTCAAGGCCGACAAAAGCGACATTAATTTTGCCTTGGTAACAATTGATAGCTCCTCCAACTCATCTCTAAATTCATCGCCATCATCTATATCTTCTATCTCTTCTTGCAATAGATTTGCCTTATTAATTGCAGCGTTTAACGTATCTAATCTACATTTTAATTCTTCTTCTTTAATCGCGATCGCGCCAGAATCGAGTCGATCACTTAATCGGCGAATGCTTTTTACTCGATTTTGTAACTTGGCTTTCAAGTCTTCAAGCAGGTTACTTTTTGGCTTTTCTTGGCTCATTTTTGAATTAAATTATCAAAAACCAAATTTATTAAAGTAAATTATTAAAGGACCAAGTGTGAAAAATTTAAATGAAATTAATTTTCGAATTAAACCACAAAAAATAATAATTTATAAAATATTAAATTTGTTCGAAAAAAAATTATTAAATAATTATTATTATTAAATAATTATTTAGATGCGAGAAACAACGAAAATAATTTTTAAATTGAATATCGAGGCACGAAGTATCAAAATTAATAGTGGGTGCAAACGACGGCGAAAAACAATATACCCAACCGAATGCGGGGTAGCGCGTCACTTGACGGTCCGTTAACCTGTAGCGCGCCCAAATGACAAGAACCCAACAACAACAACAACGCTGCTAGCGGCGACCAAGCGAAAACGAAAAAGTTTACCGCTGCAGCTGCTTGTATATAAGGGCTTATTTATTTGTGTATAACGGCTCAGATTAACTTCCCAACTATTAACTTGCGAGGTTTTAACGATAATTAAAAACAAGGGGGGCGACAGTGATTGCAATAATTTAACACAATTTAACAAAAGTTGCATCCAAATTGGTTCAAATAGTATATATCAATTTAGCACTTGTAAATATATTAGGTATTTATATATATATAATGGCTGTAATATTTGCTACTCTTTGAAATTATTAAAATTGTTTAAATTTTATTTTGCATGCAATCTAGCTCTACTATTTTGTACATATGTGCCAAGAATTGAAAGCGAGGTGCAATTTTTCAGCACTAGACAATTAACAAATATTTCTAGTTTTTTGTCAAAACTCAGCTTTCAATTTTTTGCACAAATACCTTTGGTTCTTCGTTTGGATCTTTCAATCCTGCTGCCACTTTCCTTTTGCAACTTGAACAATCGCAGGGCATCCCTCGTCGGTGGCAGAAACGTCGAATTAGGGTATTAAATTTCGCGACCGGCACGAGTGAATTTGTTGTTGTTTTTTAATAATTAAAAACACCACACGTCGCGGGCAACTTGTATGTACTTCACAAGAACTTTATATTTTTGTGCAATTTTTATAGCAAAAAAACCACAAGAAAAAAAATCACTTGCAATTGTTTGTTATTTGTGTCACTGTCACTTTAAAAAATTGTTGCCTTTTATTTAATTAATTAGTCCACCCGGGGGCGCCATGAAAAATTAGAAGCGTTTTTCTAAATATTAAATTCCGAAAATTTGGGTGGCTAATTAATGTTTTTATTTTGGCAAAACGAAACGAAAATAATGCGTGCGCTCGGTAAAACTCAATGTCAACTAATGCTCTATTCTCCACAATCATACTTAAGCCTAGCTTACCGAAGGGTAGCGAAGACGGAGCGAACTCGCAGAGAGCGAACGAAAGCTTTATTGCGCTCCCGCCTTCGCCCTAAACTAACTTACAGTAAACTTCAAATTCAATTCAATAAGACTTATTTTAACAATTCAAAAAATAAAAAGAAAAACTGGCTTCAGCCAACAGATGGTGATTTAACACTTTTCCAGTTTGACTTTTCCACTTGCGCAGCACAATCCAGCCGTTTCTCTTTTAAACTTTAACGCACTGCAATATCGGTATATAGTCGCCATTGGTCCAATATCTAAATTTTCATTATCACTGTAGTTCGCAGTGGGTTATATTGGAATGCCAAGCGATTGAATGATGCCAATGATCTCCATGTGCTCATTTGTCTTTCTTCGCTTAAGTCTTGTGAATATACTTGTTGCTGGCTTGGATGTCTGCAGCCAAGGTTTGCACGTCGTCCTCTAAGCATTTTGGACTATGGACAGAGTGGTGAATTTATCCTCAAATGCACGATCCACATAATTTTCACAGTTCAACTTAAATTGAATAAAAATTCTTTTTTTCACAATTTCACAGTGAACACAATACCCGTTTGTCCATGAAATTAACTGAGAAGAGAACAATAAGGTTTGCATAATATGTGAAAAAACTTAATTCACTTGGAAATGATAAATGAAAACCACAAAAATTGAGTTAAAATGCTATGTTTGTCAGTGTGATGAGGTAGCAACTCACTTTATATGCGACAATATTGCAATTTTCTTACGGATCCCTAATTTTTTTCAAAATAAATTATAGCCTATTTTACTCCACGATAATATAGCTTTCTATCGGTGAAAGAATTTTTAAAATCTGACCAGTAGTTCCGGAGCCTGTTCGTTGCAAACAAACCAAATTTTACCTCTTTATAATATTAGTATAGAAGTATAGATTAATTAAACAATTACGACAGTAACACTATTAAACAATATCAGTAAGAATTTATGTGGTTCATTTGGCATGGGCAGCAGTGAACATGTCTATAGGAAATTTGCCATTACCAATGTCAATGAATTGTTTAGAAAATATGTTTCCAGATTGGTCATTTTGCAACTCGACACGCATATTCTTGCTTAAATGAAGTACTTTGACATGTTTCCACAAATTGGAGGACTTTAGACATGCATTGAGTTCATCAGCTGGCGTTGATCGTGGAATCGCTGGCAATGTTTGACGAAAATCTCCTGCTAATAAAATCATTGCACCAACAAATCGGTTATTATTGCTCCGTAGATCTTTGAAGGTTCTGTCCAAAGCCTCCAAAGATTTTTTATGTGCCATCGTGCATTCATCCCAAAAAATCAATTTACATTGCTGCAAAACCTTTGCCATTGCAGAGTTCTTCGAAACGTTGCAGGTTGGAGTTTCATTGCTTTGCATATTTAATGGCAAATTTTAGTGCTGAATGGACTGTTCGACCACCTTCAAGCAAAGTTGCTGCGATTCCCGCTTCGCCACCAGATGGCAACGTACTCTTCTAACATTCACTGTACTACGGCCTATGTTCCAACAACGTCGTCTGCCAAACATGATTTTATCATTTCTGTACATAATTTACTCAGTTCTAGACATATGTATAGTTACCTACTAAGTTTGTAATGTATAGGCGAAAAAATAAAATTATTAAAACATTAAACACCTCAAAAATAATAAATATTATTTTAACATATTGTGAATGTAAACCATCCTCCAACCCCCTGGAATACACAGAAAAAATTTCATCAAAATCGGTCCAGGCGTTGTTGAGTTATGCGCTTACCAAAACATTTTGCCATTCATTTTCTATAGTAATATTATAAAGAGGTAAAATTTGTTTTTTGTTTTTTTGCAGCGAATAGGCTCCGGAACTACTGGTCCGATTTAAAAAATTCTTTCACCACTAGAAAGCTACATTATCGTGGAGTTAAATAGGCTATAATTTATTTTGAAAAAATTAGGGATCCGTAAGAAATTTGCAATATTGTCGCAAATAAAGTGATTTGCTACCTCATCACACTGACAAACACGCTACCATAGCATTTTAACTCAATTTTTGTGGTTCTCATTTATCATTTCCAAATGAATTAAGTTTTTTCACATATTATGTAAACCTTAGTGTTCTCTGCTCAGTTAATTTCATGGACAAACGTATATTCACAAAACTTAAGCGAAGAAAGACAAATGAGCACATGGAGATCATTGGCATCATTCAATCGCTTGGCATTCCAATATAACCCACTGCGAACTACAGTGATAATGAAAATTTAGATATTGGACCAATGGCGACTTTATACCGATATTGCAGTGCGTTAAAGTTTAAAAGAGAAACGGCTGGATTGTGCTGCGCAAGTGGAAAAGTCAAACTGGAAAAGTGTTAAATCACCATCTTTCTATACTTCCATATATTTGAAAAATGTTGCAACATTGACTTTTATGTTGTTAAATTGTGTTGACCAGCGAAGCGGACACAGGACCTTATATATAAGATGAAAAATCAGGCTGTAACTAAAATGTGCCCTAAGTTAACTAAGCACCATATGTTCAGGCAGCGTTGAAAACTGTTTGCGAAACTGTGCAATTCAAAAAGACATCGAAAGATGTGGCTCTATCGACAGCCCAATTTATTCAAAAAGTCGATCAAATTTTTGATAGCATGAATAGCCATACTCTGTATAGTGATAATTCGTTCAGATCTGCCTTACAAATAAATAATGAGCCTTATAAAATCATTGCATCCTTCTTAGCTTACATAAAGGATGTAAAATTCGTAAATTTAAAGAAGCGTGTTTATTTTCTCGAAGGCATAGAATTAACTTTATAGGCAACGCTTCTTCTGGCTGAAGACATTTAACCGATTCTGAAAAGTTTTTTATTATTACAAAATCTCTTAATCAAGATTGTCTTGAAAATACTTTTGCAGTTGTGAGGCAAAAAGGAGGGAACAATAGGAATCCTTCTCTTGCCGAAATAAATAACATCTTTGCCAGAATTTTAAACACAAAGATAGTTCGTTCCTCCACTTTGGGTAATTGTGAAGTTGATTTTGACGAGCACACTTTTGTGAAGAGTTCATTAACAATACCTCGGATAGTTCAAATCATGCGGAAAATTTGACTTTGATACCAACCTTGTGGATTATTTCGAAAAGGACTCTTTTAAAACCTCTTGCGAAATAAACATAGAGTTGGTATCAATAAGATATTTTCTAGGCTACATAGTCCTAAAAACAGTTCCGAAGCTAAATTGTGAAATTTGCAGCATGTATATGAGCAAAAAGATGAAACCATCAATGCGCCAAGCGAATTGTTTATCGCCCTCATGGAGGTTAGCACCAAGCACATATATGTTTTTCGACAATTCTTTGAGTCAAAGCCCCATACGATTGGCATCAAGTAAGAAATTTTAAGAGTATGCCAAATGGAAACCCAAAGTTGGTTTGAAGGTGAATGTCGGGAGCATAAAATAGCAATTTTAAATTTCCTTTTATTAATTTTGCTTCGGAAACATTCCATTTGGGCTGCATATGGGGACAACAAAAAGGCAGCCAACAATTTAAAGATTATCCACCAATAAAAAATAAAAAAAAAAACACAAAAAATTTAAAAAAAATCAACAAAAATAAACAAAAAAAAAAAAAAAAACAAAAACAAAAAAAAAAAAATAAAACCAAAATAAATTATAATAACACAAAATTGAAAAAAATATGTAAAAATAAATGAATTAATTAATTTACACAAAAAAAAAAAGAAAAAAAACAATTTATGATATGGCTGGGCTCGGCGGGGATACGAACCCGGGCCTTCATGTACACGAGGCATAGCCTCTACCACAACACCACCGGGCTTCATCAAGCGCGGCGAACTAATTGAGTATATGGTCTAAGCTGCCTTTAAAAGTACAAACTCAAGTGGGTCTCCATATCAAGACCCACCATAGAACGATTTTTTTGAGGTCATGCAACAGCTTGATATTCCATAGCCTTTGCTTGCACTAACTCTCACAAATTCACTAGTTATTATTAATAACCGCCTGGTTGTTTTAATTCACCACAGATCAAGATTATATAAGGGTAACACGCGGTTTATTAATAAAAAAAATTTAAAATCTCTAAAAATAAATATTACTTAGGTATCAGTATAACTTATAAGTACAAATGGGGCGAGCACATAAATGTAGGATATTATTTATTCGCATACAATTAATTTAATTTTCGGTTTTGATTTTAACAAAAAGTGCTTAGATTATTGTTCACAAAATTATTGATCTTTCCTCTTTCAATGCTCAACGACGACTCTGCTTCATTCCACAGGAATCGGTGATCTTAAAAATATCGATTCTAAGTATATTAATTAAGAGTTGCCATATAGCTCAACCCGCTTCGAGTGTGCCGTGGAGGAAGCCCGCCTGATTCAAATCCCACATTCGGCCCTCCTGACTGTTCATTCGCCTCAAATGGACGTGACCATGGCTTCATATACTCCGAAACTGTTGAGGTTCTAAATGGACCCTCGGTATCTCCTATGCGTTCTACTTCATACCGCCCATGATCCTTAACTGCGACTATCTTATACGGCCCTAGAAACTTTCCCTTAAGCTTTAGCCCGACTCCGTACTGAGTTCTTTAGATCGCTACCACATCATTGATCTTATAAATTCGTTCTTGTTTACGTTTCATATCAAAAGCTTTCTTGTTTTCCTCTTGAAGTTTTCTGATGTTCTCTCGAGCTTCTGCACGGTACTTTTCTCGATCCTCATCCAGTTTCTTAATCGCAAACTCCTGCA